GGTGTCGGTGCCCCGGCTCCGCTACCTGCGGCTCTGTCCTGCAGGTCCGCCAGCGCGGCGTAGGTCACGGCGCTGAGCTGCGCGTGGATGGAGAGCCCCACGCTCCGGCTGAGCCCTGCAAGGCACCGCGGCGCCGTCAGCACCGCATCCATCCCCCCGCAGGCTCGGGGCGCCGCCGGCGCCGCGCTTACCCCCCAGGTCGGAGAGGATCTGCTTTCGGGGCACCTCGAACTTGTCCACCACCATCTGCACGCCCTGCCGGCAACGAGGAGCCGGTCAGCCGCGGGCAGCAGCCGCCGGGAGGGGAGGGAGCACTGTGCTGCCGCTCGAAATACATTTTTAATGCAGCCACCTCTCTCCTCTTGCCTGCCGAACTATCCCCTGAGGGAAACGCGGCCACCCCTGGGCGCCGGGCGAGGCCGCCCGCCTGGGGACCCACCTGGGGGACGTTGGCCAGGTGCTGCCGCAGCGTGCGCAGCGTGGAGGGCACGGCCGCCAGCCCCGGCTCCACCTGCCCCTTCACCCGCTGGCCGCTGACGAAGGCGCAGCTGACGCTGACCCTGCGGGGAACCGGCGGGCGGTGACGGACGGGCGGCGAGCCCCGGCCGGCGCGGTTTTGGGGGTGATTCGGGGCACTCACAGCATGGCGAGGGAGGTGAGGGACAGGCAGGCCAGCAGGCAGCGGCGGCGGCAGCCCAGCGAGCGCCGGTGGGCGCGGAGGCGGCCCCCGCAGCGCCGCCGGCTCCGGCAGTAGCAGAAGCACATCCCGGCCACCGGCACGGCCACGGTGAAGAGCAGAGCCACGGCGGCACAGACGACGTAGCCCAGCTCGTACTGCACCACCTGAGCCGCAGGAGAGCCCCGTCGGTGCCGCTGCACCGAGCTCGGGGCTCTCCGAGCGCCCAGGTGCCCCGTGCCGGGTGGAAAACGCCCCCATGGCACCGCCCGGCTCACCTGCGCTGTCCGCACCGAGCCGGGGTCGTTCAGCGCTGTCCTGAGCAGCTCTGCGAAAAAATAAAGCGTGGCACAGGCACAGGGGCCCCAGCCGGTGCACCCCCAGCCTTCCGGGGCAGCAGTGCTGGGGCGGGGGCTGAGCCCTCTTCTGAACCCTGGGGACCCCTGGAGCCGCTCTGGGACAGAGGCTGAACCCCCTTCTGAACCCTGGAACCCCTCAAGAGCAGAGGCTGAGCCCTGGGGACCCCTGGAGCTGCTCTGGGACAGAGGCTGAACCCCTGGGGACCCCTGGAACCCCTCAAGAGCAGAGGCTGAACCCTGGGGACCCCTGGGGACCCTCAAGGGCAGAGGCTGAACCCTGGGGACCCCTGGAACCCCTCAAGAGCAGAGGCTGAGCCCTGGGGACCCCTGGAGCCGCTCTGGGACAGAGGCTGAACCCCTGGGGACCCTCAAGGGCAGAGGCTGAACCCTGGGGACCCCCGGAGCCGCTCTGGGACCGAGGCTGAACCCCTGGGGACCCCTGGAACCCCTCAAGAGCAGAGGCTGAACCCTGGGGACCCCCGGAGCTGCTCTGGGACAGAGGCTGAACCCCTGGGGACCCTCAAGGGCAGAGGCTGAACCCTGGGGACCCCCGGAGCTGCTCTGGGACCGAGGCTGAACCCTGGGGACCCCTGGAGCCTCTCTGGGACAGAGGCTGAACCCTGGGGACCCCTGGAGCCTCTCTGGGACAGAGGCTGAACCCCTGGGGACCCTCAAGGGCAGAGGCTGAACCCTGGGGACCCCCGGAGCTGCTCTGGGACCGAGGCTGAACCCCCCTCTGAACCCCGGGGACCCCCGGAGCCGGTCCGGGACACGAGGATCGCAGCCAGCACAATGCCCGAGGTCCCGGCAGCAGCGGGATCGCTTTCTTTGAGGTGAGGAATCATTATCCAGCTCATCCCCACTTTTATTTTTTCCCCCTGATAAACAGAGTGCCCTCCAGGTGGTTTAGGACAATTTTCTGGATTATTCGTGGGGGATTTACCATTAACTCAAAGATCCTCCCATTTTTAATCCATCCACATCCCAGCAAGGAACGGGGATATTCATGGATCTACAACAAACATTTCTTTTGAGGCGAAGCCCTCTACCATTCACTATTTATCTGTAATTTAGAGCAGGCCGGCTACAAGAACCAGGAGGAAGATGCAGCCGAATTAATCTCATTTCCCTGCAAACCCAGCGGACTCGATTGGCCTCGGAGGTCTCTCCCGCGGCTCGGGGCTCACCTGTGGGCAGCGGGTTCTGCTGGATGAGGTCCAGGCAGCGCCGGACGAGGCCGTAGAGGGGATCGAGCGAGCTGGGCACGCGGTGCAGCGCGGGCACGCGGATCTCGGCGTGCCGCTCCGTGAAGCGCAGGACGGCGCCGGGGCCGGCGGGGTGGCACTGCTGGCTGGCAGCGGCACGCAGCAGCAGCGCCCAGGCCAGCAGCAGCAGCGGCGGCCCGGCCGCCCGCATGGCTCCGGCGGGGGCCAGCGGGGCCGGGGGC